TTCATTAAAATAAAGACTATTAGAAAATGTGAAGTTGCTTATTGTCTTTGGAGACAAGTTCTAGGGGAAAATAGTCCAAGGGGAAAGTAATCTCTGTTTAGCAACTGTCAGGACTACTATGGTCACTTAATGGGAAATTGATGCTGCAGAGATTGATCTCCCAGGGTTAGACTTAGCAGGTCTAGTAAGGACCCGCTAAATAGACTCCTGATTGTGTCCTCATCAACTCCAGTACTCCACCAGGTTGTGAAGAGTAAGGGAAGTCTGATGGGAGAAACTCTCCAGGGATCTCCTACAATGGGGATGCTGTGGAAATTCAAACTAAGATATGTCAACTCCAGCTATGCTATTCCCATAGCTGGAATTGCATATCTTAGTTCAACCTTATCTCTTAATGTAGACCTGGCCTCAGACAGGAAATATGGTGGCAGAGGGGTCACTCTGCTAAAAGTTAGGTAGCTTCTAAATATGCTTACAGGATATCACCTTTTCTGAAATATGTAAAGCTCCTACATGGAGCTCGGATTGCAATGATTGCTCTTTAAGTTTGGGAGCTGAGTCAGATGATCATTTCTCGAGGGGGAAAAAATGGTGGTTACTTACTGGTAACTTAAGTTTCCTAAATATCCACCTTCCTTCCATGCTTCACCCAATCTTTGAACCTGATTTTAAATAGAGGAAAGAGACTGAAGACGTTTGAATCCATGGACTGCTTTTATAAAATTCTCACAAAACTTTCAGATCCATAAGGGATCATGCTTGTGACATGAATGAACTCATGGTTTTAAATGGTTCCGGGAGTGCAATGTTGAGGTATTTTAGACCTGCACAGACATATTTCACAGTTCCAAGTGAATAGAATAGCCTCTTTTCTAGATGTTTTTGGTACAGAATCTTTTCATTAGCTCTACATTGGAAAGACTGTAATAACTTTAACGCCTAATAGATTTCTTTTAAAGTGATCTGTAAAATAATGGATTCAGTATTTCTTTGAAATGTAAATTATTTCTATCAGAATAGCTAGTTTCTGTCAGCATACTGATATGCTACATAGCTCATCCTTTGCTCTAAACTGCAGGTCATACTTTAATGATTCTTGAAGAGAGACATTTATGCGGTAGCTTACCAGGTAGTAAATTATCATCAATTTATAATACTTTTCTGTATGTTGCAATAATGCTATTGAAATACTTGATTTTTCTATTTTTTTCCCTGAGTTGAAAAGACAAATGGGCAAGACTCTCTTTCAGAACCTCACATAAAACATATTGATAATACCTGTCAAAAATATGAGCTATTTTAAATTACTTGGAAACTTTGTATTGCCAGGAAATAAGATTAGCTGATGTTGTGGGTATTTTCATAGAATCCTAGGAATAGAGTTGGAAAGGACAAGCTTTCACTTGTTGTGTTAATACAGATCCTCAAATGAACAAGTACATTTAATGTAAAATGAGAGAGATTTAAATTTAAATAAAAACCAGCACATAGGGTTTCATTATTTGTTCACACAGTGAGTTAGTGAATCCTGAGAAATGTATCTGCAAAACATTTTGGATATTGGATTATTTGTACTTGCAGCATAGTGGGCTTGATATGACTTTCAGAGGGTAATTATTTCACGGTGTGATATTTTTACATATTCTTGCTTTGTGATCTTCCATTTCCTTTAATGATATAATATGGTCAAATATTTTAAACCATTAGGCTGCTTTTTCATCACAGGATAAAACGTTAAAAAAGGAAATGCTAGTGGCAGCTTTGAATTCCACAATGTATAAATAATCCTCAGAGATCAGATAATTTCTTAAATTTAGAGGAAAGATAATCTGTTAAGCTCTGTGAACTAAATGCTCTGTGGAGTGATCTTCCTCTTGTGTGAAGCTTGAGTAGTTGCTGTACTGAGTGGGGAGGGGAAGTCTATATCAGAAGAGGGAGACTGATTATTTGGACATTTTAGGCCTGGACAGGTGGAATCAAGATGATTCTAAACATTTAACAAGACCATTTGTGTTGCCAGGTGTCTGTTTTTTTTTATTGGAATACCTGATCGAAAAGGGGCTCTGGCCAGCACTGCTGACCAGGCCATTAAAAGTACAATTAAGATGGCTAAGTCAGGCTCCACACAGCTCCCAGAAGCGACAGCATATCCCCACCCTCCAGCTCCTAGCTGAAGGGGCAGCCAGGGTGCTCCACATGCTACCTCAGCCCCAGCTCTGCATCTCCCATTGGCTGGGAATCATGGAAATACTTGAGGCAAGTGCCACCTGGTGTCTGCACCCTTGAGTTCCCTTGCATCTCTACCCCAGCCCTCATTCTCCTCCAATCCCCTCTGCCCCAAGCATCCTCCTCTACCCCAAACTCCTCATCGCCATCCCCACTCTTGAGTTCACAGCCCAGCCACAGCCTTCATCCCACCCCTCCCCACAGTGCCCCAGCCTCCTGCCCAGCCCTGTTCTGCCTCTTACCTTCTAAACACCTCAGTCTTAGCCCAGAGCACACTCCTGCACCCAAAGCCCATCATCCTCAGCTCCACCCCTGAGTTTGTATCCTCAGGAAGAGTCTTCAAACCTCCTGTGCACCCCACCTTCCTGCCCAGCCCTGATCTGCCTTGCACATCCTTACCCTTCAGTGCTACCCTGGAGCACCCTGCTATATCCTAAAGCCACATCTGCAGCCAGAGCCCACTTTTACACTGTGAACATGTGAGTCCCAGCCCAGAGCCTCTTCCTACACCTCAAATCTCTGATCCCCAACCCCACACTCCCAACTTGAGCCCTCTCCTACCCTTACACTCTAATTCCCTGCCCCAGCCTGGTGAAAATGAGCAAGTGAATGAGACTGAGGAGAGCAAGCAACAGAGGGATGGGGGGGGACCGTAGAGAAGGGGTAGGGCAAGAGTGGAGCCTCAGAGGAGGGGCAGGGTAGGGGGCAGGAAGAGGTGTTCACTTCTGTCTGTGTAGAAAGTTGGCAATCCCAAAGATAGTTTTAATAGGAAAGTGAGGGCATAGAACAGTGCATGTTTCAATAATTTAGCAATGTTTTAGGAGATATTACACATTTTATAAAGGTCAGATAGCAAAAGTAAAGAAACATTTTCTCTGCATTTTATTTGTCCAAAACGTATTCCAAATTAACCCGTTCACTGCTGCCTGCGGGTATAGGTGTTCAATCAAATTTTTACTGATTCTTTTATTAGAATGCATTTCAAACTAAACTTCTGTTCGCCATTTAAGATTTGAAGGGAGTGCTGTGCAACACTGAACTGTGGATAGTTGTACATATCTTGCATAGAACTTTAAAAGCAGAACGGTTAATCTCATGAAATAATTCAAGGCTTGATTTTATATTAGGTTAGCCCCAAGTTCTGTTAGTGCAGATTTTAGCAAGCAAATTAATTTCTTGCAATTCATGGCAGGTTTTAAAAAAAATTGCATGTTTTAAATGCAAAATTCTGTCTGCAAAAATAAGAATCCTCTCTACAACTTAAGTTTCCATTGTTCATAGAAATCAAGGTTATTGTTGATGCCATTGTGAATTCTTTACTCCAATATAGCTGCAATTTTTTGATAGTAATAGTATTATTCGTGAAGCTTTGAAAAGACTTCTGAGCACCTAACTAGAGGTTTTTACTAAGATAGGATGTCCGATAATTAAATCAATCCAAAGATGGGAGATGGGGAAAAGCTTCTCTATAATTCAATAAATAAAACATCAGAAGACTCCTGAAAAGTGAGCAAAAACCATCCTTAGCTTCACAAAGAATATCACTGATGTGATTTGGTAAGCAAGGAGAGCATTCCAAAAGATTGTTGGTAGTTACAAGCAATTAAGTTACATTGAAAAGTTAAATTGAAAAGTCACATGCTAGTTCAGAAATCTGTTTAGAAGGACATTGTACTGATTTAATAGAATGGAATGCAAGAGAGTGAACTGCTTGCTTATTTGAAAAGGTGGGTTTTGCCCACAAAATATATATATACTTTTTGTTAATCTCTAAGGTGCCATAGGCACCTTGTTGTTTTTATATTTACCAGTAAATCCCATTGATTTCAATGGAAAATGCTCAAGTGTTTTTCTAAATTTGAGCGTCAGTGGATCTTCAGTGGCAGTGCCACATATACAAGGAATGCAAATTTGGCCCTATTCATATTAAGGAGAGCTAAAGACAAGAGCCTGTACATCAAGGGTATGTCTAGACTTCATGCCTCTGCCGACAGAGGCATGTAAAACAGGCTACCCGACATAGTCAATGAAGCAGGGATTTAAATATCCCTGGTTTCATTAAAATAAAAATGGCCGCCATGCTGTGCCAGCTCAGCTGATCATCGACACAGCACAAGAGTCAAGATGCGGATCGGTCAACAAGGGAAGCCTTTGTCGACCGTTTCACGAGGCATAAGGGAGCGGTTGACAAAGGCTTCCCTTGTCGACCGATCCGCATCTTGACTTACGCGCTGTGCTGATGATCAGCTGAGCTGGCACAGCATGGCGGCCCTTTTTATTTTAATGAAGCCAGGGATATTTAAATCCCTGCTTCATTGACTATGTTGAGTAGCCTGTTCTATATGCCTCTGTCAGCAGAGGCATGTAGTCTAGACATACCACAAGATGAGCCAGCTTTTAGTACTGATATGAAGCAGGTTAACTTTAGCAAGTATCTCTGAAATCTAGAATCACCTTTTGGTAGATGTGGTATTCCAGTTGATATAACATCAACTTGTCTGAAAAAATAGAATTCTGTTACCAACCTGAATCCAAATGAGCAAAAGTTTTCTATGATAAATCGATGGTAATGCAACAGAGTATATAAATGCGTGTTTTCATGTTGTCTCATTATATCATTAAAAGCTATATGTCCACTTTAAACCTGAGGTGGTACTATGATAAATAAGTTGTTACTAATAGTAATGCTTGCTACTTATAAAATGCTTTATAAGTTCAACATAATTTGCCAGCATTACTGTAAGATTTTTTATCATTTTGATGTTCCCTTTCAGTATCACTGCAAGATATTACAATGAGAAAAGCTTTCCGGAGTTCCACAATTCAAGATCAGCAGTTGTTTGACCGCAAGACTCTGCCTATTCCTTTGCAGGAAACTTATGACACTTGTGAACAACCTCCTCCACTCAACATACTCACCCCTTACAGGTAAGTGTGAAAAATCAGGAAAAAAGTCCTTTTTTACCCAGTTCATCTTCAGTAATTTACAGCTGTTTTCCGCCAAACTTACTCATACTGAGTAGTATCATTGTCTTGTAGTAGTCCCATTCCCAATAATGTAACTACCTGAAGTGTAAGGATGGCACTATCTGGCCTTTAATATTAATATTATTGTGAATTGTATGCCCAGTTAACTTTGGTGAGAAAAGCCATTCTAAAGTGTTTCTACTAAAAGGAGAAGGGAAGTTAAAGCATAAATTTCTTTTAAGGGCATTCTGTTTCTGTGAAGGAGTACTCACAGTGAATACAGTCCTTTCACTTAGATCTTATAAAGCAGTGGTTCCCAAACTTTTTTATACCATGGACCAGCAAATCCACTCAAAAACTTTTGGTGGTCTGGCAATATTTTATTTGCATACTTGCATATTCATTATGCAAACAAGGAATATTCAAATAAAATGTTACTGGTCCACCAAAAGCCCCGGCCTCCAGAGCTGCTGCGAACAGCTGGCTTCAGCTCTGGCAGTTGCCACGTGGCAGGTGGCTGCCCTGGCCTCCTGAGCCCCCCAATGCCCGGTCTAATCCCTAGAGCCCCCCACCCCTCCACTACCCTCCCAGTGCCAACCACTGATCCCAGAGTCCCCTACACCCAACCCTCTCAGTGCCAGCCCCCTACCCTCCACTACCTCCCAGCCTCCTATCCCAAATGCCTCAGTGCCAGCCCCCTGCCCCTTAGAGCCCGCCACCACCAGACCCCCTTGTGTCAGTCTCCTGTTTCCAGAGTCCCACTGCACCCAGATCCCCCTCATGCCAGGCCCCAGTACCAGCCCTGCCCCCTCATTACTAACCCTACCCCCAGAACCCCCCAGTGCCAGAGCCC